ACTAAAGGCCCAGATATACTTACATGTTGAGTAGCGCCGGTATATGCAATGAGGGTGCAGTACTCAGAAAGACCACAGAGGGACAGTGATCAACATGACATACAGAAATGAAAAAAAGAGAAGAAACAGGTGACTCCCCACTTCCAAAATGACCTACCGCAATATTGTTTATTCAAGAAATTATGATTATTGAAGAATAGTTGGTGTGTTTATGGCAGCTACACAGAAAAAGATGGTAGAATAAAATAAGACATTCACCTGCTGCACACAGAGTGACAATGGGAAATGCAGCCTGCCGGAGAAGGCCATATGGATCTTTTAAAAAAAAATCATAGATATAAAAAGAGTTTATTTTACTTAATAAAAGCTGTATGCATTATATACTGTGGGTTGTTTTTTAAAACTTTATGCTGTATGCAAACAGAAATTAAAATCCGTGTTTGTGCCCACAACCTTGGCCAATTACCGTAACTCATTCCTGAAAGTATGCCAGTACTCTGTTTCAGTCACAGAATAAGCAGGAACATCTCAGTTTTTAACAAAACTGTTGCTGACGCGTTCGAAGGTGTGCAATAGTGCAGATGCTACATCCACGGTCCGCTCTCTGGGGCGGGGACGGCATGATTGTGTCACTTTTGGCATGTGCAGCCTCGCACAGTTCAATGCTGTGAGTATAAACCAAGCATAAGGGGCCAAGCCCAACTCTTGAAAAACAACAGCATACCATGATGCCCCCTCCACCAACTCAACTTTACACTTAGGACAATGCAGTGAGACAAAGAGTGTCGGCATTAGCGGTGTAAATAATAATCGTTTCGTATCGATCCAAAAGCCGACGATCCAATGCATCAACACGTCCGCAAGAGTATCGATTCATGTTTTATTTTTTCCCTCCGGTCTCTTTTTATCCTTTTGCTCCTCGAACAACTTTGCTACTACTGTTATTTGCTGTTGTTTCTCAAATAAAAAGCAGAATGATGTTACAGCTTTTATAAATTTATATCAAATTCGAAACACTGTCTAACCTGTAAGGCAAAAAAAAAAAATAACCAATTAATCGAATTGAATCGAATCATAGTGTATTCTTGATTATCGAAAATAATCGAATCGTTGGGTCAGGAAATTGATACTGAATCGAATCGCCATGATGGGTGTGATTTACACCCCTAGTCTGCATAATGGTTAGGGCATTGCTCTTGGAATCCAGAGGTTCCGAGTTCAAGCCCCACTCCCACACACTGCCACTCTGGGTCCCTGAGCAAAGACCCTTAACCCCACACTGCTCCCCGGGCGCTGCACAATTGCATCCCACTGCTGCCCAAAGGGGATGGGTTAAATGCAGAGAGTTCATTTCGTTGCTCTGTACTTGTGACAATGGAATGATAACAAAAAAGCTGGAAATGAAAGAAAAAAGTAGCATTCTCCTGGAAACCACTGAATGTAGACTTATCCATCAGATTTACAGACCGAGAAGAGTGTTTTGTTATTTCAAAGAATGTGTCTCCACTTTTCTGGAGTCCAGTAGCAGAGTGCTTTACTGCATCCAACGCCTTACATTGCACTTGGTGATCTGTGGCTTGAATGCAGCTGCTCGATCATGAAAACTCATTCCATGAAGCTCTCTGCACCCTGTTCTTGGGCTAATCTGACGGCTGCATGAAGTTTGAAAGTGTGTAACAATTTACTTTGCAGAAAATATGTCACTTCTTCACACCAAGCACTTTAGCATCCACTGCACTGACCCGCTCTGTCAATTCTTGTGACCGACACTCCGTAGCTGAGTTCCTGTCATTCCCAAACACTTCCATTTTCTGATGATACAGCTAACAGTTGACTGAGGAATGTTTAAAATTGAGGAAACTTCACACCTCGATTTGTTGCACAGGTGACATCCTATCACAGTTAAAATACATTTTGCAATGTAGTGTATATATGTAAATAAACACTACAGCAGCAAAGTGAGGGGTAATTTAGTTCCTGCTACCATGGGAAAAAGAAGAAGGGTTTTTCTGTTTTTGCTGTGAACAGTATGTATTGAGCTGTAGTAGGTTTTATAACTGTAGTCTTTTGAATACTATATTATCTTTTCAAGTGACTCTAAACCTCTTCAGTATATCTGAGCATATAATATATGAGGAGAGCAATTTAAATGTGTCACAGATAATGGTGTCCAGAGCAGTTAAAATACATTACAGTACAATGCTGCTTTATTTATTTTAAATTTATTTTATATCGATTACCCCACTGTTATTGAACTCTATTATATATTTCTTAGTAATGGTTTCAAGTATTTACTGTAGATGAAATTCAGTAACTAAAGTAACCTATTTATACAAAGCAATATGGTAAAGATGAGTCCATAAAGGACTTCTAATGCGTTACAATGGTATGGGGAACAAGTATCGAGCATTTAAAACCATGCACCAAATGCATGGGGAGCTAAGAAATCATCCAAAATGTATCAGTATTTTGAAAAACTTCTTCCTGCAATGTTTAAATCAATAGCCGCTGGTTTAATATTACCTAATGGCCTTTAAAAAGGTTCCTCATTAGCAAAGCTCTGCACAAAGAGGTAACACTAGTAAAAGCAAAGAGACCTCAACAAAATTGTCTCACTGTTGCATAACGCTAATATTATTGGTTACAGATGGGTTTTTAAACTTAACTGAATGTTCCAGTAAGAAACGTTGGAGTCATTAATCCAGAAGTGGAAAGGGCATCATTTCACCATAAACCAACCATACCCAGGTGCCCCTCATAGGATTTCAGACACAGGAGCCAAAGGAATAATCAAGTGTGGATTTCCAAGCAAGAATGCCCTCCAGCCTCTCAGCAAAGGAAAAACTTAGTTGGTTTTTAGAGAAATAAGCTTGAAATTACTTAAAATTAAACAGCTTTTCCACAAAGCATTTACTAATAATTTACAGTCTGATAGTGGTTTTCTATGTAATTTCATTTTCTACTCTTCAATTCTACTCATTACTTTTGTGTTTGGACTAATTTGCTTTAATTGCTGTGTAGATAAATTGCACAGATTGTTGTCCAGATCTGGTGTCAAATGCTTGTCAATTGAAATATTAAAAAGAGATGTTCTGAACTGAGAGAAGCCTTGAGCTGTAAAACACTTATTTAACCTGATGCTTAAACTACATTGAAAAGTTTGGAGATAACTATTGTAGGCCACTGTGGCTTAGTGAGCCACTGTCAGTGGGTAGAGCTGCCATCTAGCAATTGAAGGGTTTTGGGCTTGATTCCAGATTCCTGTTTTACATGTCAGTGTGCCCCCAGTCCAGGCCCTTAACCCAAAGTTGCCTAGCAATGTGCATATTTGTGTATGAATGTTCGTGCGTAGGTGGGTTCGAATTGGTGATTATGACTATAGGTTGAATAGTTCTGAGTGTCCAGTATGACAATATTCATCTTTCTTGTTAAGTGGGTCTGTATGTGGTTGGTCTTTCTTGTGTAAAAGCAGAAGTAATGAATATTTAAATGTTGTTTTGCCTGCTATTTTTACCATGATTAAAAAACATATAGAAGAAAACCTGGTTGTAAATCATTGGTTAAATTACGGGATTGTTATGACGTAAAAGTTCCAGATGTTGTCTTTTCAGAAGCTTGATTTGCTTCAATATATTTAACCGACACAGCTTTTTCTCAAATCATGGTCCCATCACTTGTAGCTTCCCTGCAAATGTGTGAACATTAACTCTGTTCTATGATCACCTGAGCCAAAAATGACTGATGGGTCACCCGTCCCCCCCAACAGAAGAAACTCATTTTTTTCTTCAGGAGAGGAAATGAAAATGTCAATTGTAGATTTGAAATTGGGATGATTGAACAGTATCAGAGATGTTTTGAGATAAGACAAGCAGCCTACACTGCCAATGTAACCTTTTGTATGTGTTATTGAATTCTATAACTGCAAAGATAAGTACCAAAGGCGTGGGATTTGTTTGCTAAACCCACAGATAAGCCGGGAAATAATCCCTCCAACGGTTTTTGATCAAAGGGGTAAAGCTCCTCAATGTTCTCCCTGTTCGCTGCTCGATTGTAATTCTTGAGGCCTCTTCTCTTTGTGTGTCCCCCTTTATGGAGCTGAGCCTCTGTCCTTCCCCTAAGTTTGCTGTGTGTTGAAATGCTTTTCCTTTGGGCGCCTTGTGCCAGCCCCCTTCCCCTCCTCTCTCACCGATGTGGGGGTGAGCTTTCCCAGGACAAAGAGATGGATGTACAATAGAAAGAAAAAGGAGGGGTGGGAGAGACAAAAAGACAAGCATGTGAGCAGAGGGAGGAAAGGGAAAGAAGGAGCACATGTGAAAGGATACAGAGGGTTTGACAATTGATCGCCGAAGTATTCAATGCAGCTGCCAAGCTCTGAGTCTAGAAGAGTGGAGAGAAATAGAAGTAAAGAGAAATCTGTACTTTTTCCACCACTGCAGACTCAACTGCTTACTTATTACAGGCTCTGCAGGGTGTGGGATTTGCGGCATACGGTGCAGTTGGAGAGTTGCTGGAGAGCACATCAGTCCTTCTGCTCCCCCCATCTCCCCCGCTCCTCCACCACATGGTACAGTCCATTTAAAAGGCTGCATGTCATCTCAGTGTGTGCAGGGTCCTCTCAGAGAGCAGCTGCTCACAGCACATTCTGCTCGGCGGGAACGTTCACTTTCCCTCTGCCTGCTGGGCTCCATCTCTTCCACTCTTCTGTCTTCTCCTCTCCCATGCTCTGCACTTTTTCCTCCTTTTCCCTCTCTAAACACATACTCTCTGTCATTCTGGAGGTTGTTCTTTTATGCAGAAAAGGGTAGAGATCTTCTACGCTCAGCTCTGTCCAGTTCAGAGGAAGGATCATACTGTTTTTTTATGTACAAAGTAGACCTTAAGAAAAGAAGTGCAGGTGGAGGCAGAAGAGGAGGTGTTGGTGGAAGAGAAGAAGGTGTCAGCTTCCCCCCATGCAATGCTCCTGCTGACACCATGCTGCTCTGTGTGGATTTGCTCCTCAGGGGAAAATCCTTAAAATGATGGAGGACAACAAGCAGCTGGCACACAGGATCGATGGGGCCATCCACTCTGCAAGTCAGGAAGTGACCAACCTCCGATCTGAGCTCTCCGCAACCAGCCGCAAACTAGCAGAGCTGGGAGCCAGCAGCCCCCCTGCTCTGGAGAACCACCACCTCCTCCACAACCACCAGGATGACAGCCTCCGCTACAGGGGTGAGTGTCACAGTACGGCTCCGAGGAACGCGCTTTGTGTAACAGTGGGAACATGAACATGTGGGGAGAAATTTCCACTACTTTTCATCAGTTGATTCTTTTTCCCTTAAACCCGGAATGGAAAAGGCGGTGGAAAAGAAAAGGAGAGCAGGGGACTGGCTCGTTGTTATTAAACAGGAGGGGCTGGGGTTAGAGAGCGTGGGCTGGAGTCGGTCAGAGTTTGGTTTCCCAGGCAGCAGCTGGACTCTTCAGGGGCTTTGCTCCCTCCAGATCTGGCTCTATGTTTCATTCTTTGCTCTTGTTTGGCAACGAGTCTGTGAAGAAGAAGCAGGCTTAGGGCAAAGACGCTGAACACTGGCCTGCCAGGAGAAGGATGGCAACACCATAGATATGTCATCTAGGTGGGAACAACCAGAGGAATCATTTTAAACTAGGTTGAGATTAAACAAAAGCAAAAGAGTGAAAAAAAACACAAAACTTTTGTGGAGAAGTTAGTTTTTTTATCAGATTTTAGAAAATGTTTGGCACCTTATAATTTACAGTTTTCACTCTATCTGTGAAATTTCAAATGTTTCATTTAGTTTGATAAGGTGTTACTATCTCATCAGTATATTACCCTTCTGAAAAGAAAAAAGTGCAGAGATTGAACAGAATGGTCTGTTTTATTTATTTTTGGAAAGTTCTGATTTTTGGGAAATTGTAATGCATTTGCTATCATAGTTCAGTAACTGCTTGAAACATTTTTTCTTTTTTTTTTCGTGACTATGCACTTCATTTAAAAAGTGCTTTCATTAGACATAACATTATGTCCAGAGTTTATGATACATCATAAAAGAATACTTTGTATTCTGACACCTTTTTAGTGAAACCAGCATTATTTGTTTTAGCACTTATAGGTACTGTAGCTCATTTATTGGATCTGAAGATACAGACAAGCCTTTTCACCTCTGGATCAATTACCTTGTTGCCACTTCTCCATCTTTTCTTTCCTTGGACCACTTTTTAAAAAGACAGATCTCTGGAAATGGGGATAAGCTCACTTGAGCTGCAGCATTGGAGTCACTCTGACTCAGCCATCTGGGAATTAAAATCCCTTGTTATTCTGGTTTACTGGTTATTTATGCTTTTAACATATTATTTTGAGGAAAATAATGTTGATTTGGTGTCTTTTTTAATCCCACAGTTAGATCAGCAAAGATAAAATTGTTATTTTTAGCCATCCCTACAGTAGTCATGATGTTATACCCCATCAGTGTAAAACAATATCAGGAACAGGGAGGAAATATAATCTGTACTTCCCTTGAGGACGAGCAGCATGCAGTGACCAGATTACAGCAATGTCTGAAAATTCTGAGAATCACTGCACCTAAACTTTCCAATATTTCTTCAATTTGATTAAACTTTATATGATATTTGTATAAGAAGTTTCCAGGCCAGACGTTAAATGCTTACCGTAATATGACTCCCCTCCTGTGTCATTGGGTCATTTAGAGATAGGTTGCTTAACATACTGAATATGCACTGAATTAGAAGAAGTCATTACATCGTGTAGGATGGGTTTTGCATTAATCACTTTTTGATGTCTTTTCTGACCATTTAGCTACAGAATTATCTTATTATATCCTCTATAGAAACCCTATAGGTTGATTTTATATAACAATGTTGTAGTTATAGCTCTTGTATCCGTAAAAGGATGTTCCTTAGATTCAGATGCACAAATTTCAGTAGCTAATTCCTTGGTAAGGAGCTTTCAAGTTAGTTTAAAATGCTTGAAAACTGGTCTAAGAAATGGAAAAAAAAACATCAAGGTGCAACTATTTGAATTCTAACTACAAACAGTAACAACAGCACTTCATAGTGCATATATGATGTTGATAGTATGAATGCAAAGTAGCAAGTGCAAGGTTTCATAGAGCTTGACTGAATGCAGGAACTGAATGGGTAGACCACACTATACCACCTACACAACTGCACTCCTTATTAGATGTTCCCAGTCTGCAGTGGTCAAGACATTCCATACACCATCCAAGAAATTAAAACCTTAGTGAGCCACCCACATCTGACTGCCGGCCAAGGCTCATTCATATATGTTGGGTAGGAAAATTGCAAGTCTGGTCCTTTGGACCAGCTCTGGCTGCCGAAACTGTTGCGCTGTTTTAAAATGAAGATGTCAGAACATTGAAGCTATAGCTGCATAATGTAATACTAACATTCCAGCTAAGCTGCAGAACTGCCAGGGTCTAATAAACTACATTAATTTAACTTACCTGAGGAGTAAAATCAGTGGTAAAGATAAGCAATGTTTGGAAATTAACTTTCAAAATTTAATGTATTTCACATTCCAAGTTACCTTTGTTAGATAGTAATAATAACAATATAACCATATGTATTAAGGAATATGTTACCTGTTACTATTTAGTTAAGCCGGGCATACACTGTACAATATTTGTAATCATTGTACTGTAGGGTTTAAACGTTACCAGCTCACTATGTATGTTTTTACATTGCACGGCCTGACACTCTGAGGCGATGTACCTGCTCACACTGTACTGTATGTCCAGAAACCACAAGTATGACTTGGCGCAGAGAGATGGCGCTGGTCGGACTTGTCAATCTGGAAGATGAAGAAGAGCTCCATTTTTTGCTCATGTGCTGTATGCGAGGTTCTGGTAAATTGGCTCATAGATTCTCGTAGCTCTGCTTCAAAAGCAGGATTTTTCGCGCAAACACCTCATGAGGGGTGATTTAATTGAACCTTACGACTGCTGTTAGGGAGGTGGGCACGAGAGGCTAATGTCCTCTGCTAATCGGTGTAATGTCTCCTGTATATTACACAACGCCAGACACACGATGAGGCTGAAACTTGCCGAAATGCAAAGGATTCTCACACAACCAGAAGAATCAGCCCGAAAAGGGCAAAAACTCACACAGTGTATGCCCGGCTTAACTTTCGACAAAATAAACATTTAAAAGAAGCCATTAAAAAGAAAGGTGCTCAGTTGCAGTTGAATCCAATGACAGCTGCAGGAGTTTTCTCCAGGGGGGGCTGTATCTTCAAAATCGACATTTACCAAAAACCAAGTTATCACACCAGTATGTGAACAAAAAATATAATACATTTTTTTAAAGTGCTTTAAATCAGTCATACCTGCCTCTATCCATGCTGAGTCAGATCCTGATGTTTGAAAAAGGACGAAAGGGAAAGCAGAATAAAGCGTTAGCCTCACTGCATGCGAGCCTTTTTGCTAAATATTTATATAAACCTGTAGATCAGCCGCATTTTACCACAGATCGCTGTGACACCAGTTCTGTGGTGGGAGGTAGTGTGCCAATAAAGTTGCTTTCAGCTCTGTGCGTAGGAGAGCTGCACCTCATGATGGTCCTATCTCTTGCATTAAAGAGGTGCTACTCCGTATGTACAACTTTTAGCAAGTTACCCCCCCCCCCCACAATAAGGATAAAAGCAATGTTTTAGACAATATATGGCTGGAAACATAATTCATCATTATGAGGATTTTCTACTTCAAACTAATGTAAAACAAAATATTTAAGATTCAAATTTTAAATCAGATCAAAAATATATATTTGAATACAGAAATATGGACTTAATCAAAAGTATGTTTAATACCATCTTATATTAAGATAAAAGTGCTTTTATTATGTAAGAGAGCCTGATCGGATCATCCTGTAATCTGGGAAATGTTTAGGAATTAGATTGAAAATAGCATCTGTATAATTGCTGTAAAGTAAATTCCCACCCGACTTTATAAACTAAATTTGACTGGATAATAATCTGTTCCTATGATAAGTTTGGTCTTGTCGTATATTTCTCTTAAAAAATTGGATCTGTTTGTCTTTCAAAGTGCAGTAAGATAACAGCTTGGGTCAAAAGTGTCCATAATGTTATGGCTCATAAGTGGTTTTGCACATTAATGGAGTGGATATATTAACACTAAATCTCACTATCTCTCCAACTATAATGTATTAACTGAACTTTCCCATTCCACATTAGAGAAATCACCATGTTTTCTCTATTACTGCTGGTTTTAAGCTGGTCTAAATGCTTCCTGGCTCTTTATGTTTGAAATAACTCAGCTGGGTTGAGTTATCTGGTGTTCATCACTCTTTCTCTCACTCTGCTTTTCGTTGGAGCTTTGGTAACATGCAGCCTGACATTCCCACATTCCTGAATGTCAGGCTAGTGATGTCATATTTCCTGTTCCCACAGCCCTGGCCAGACCTCCGTCAGGTGACGGATGAAACCAAGCACACCCCACCACCTCCTTTAGAAATCTCACCTGGTCTGCATTAAGTTCAGCTTGTTCTTAGAAACTAAATTGTAATATTTCTGATTAGCAATCACTGCTTTTTGTTTAGCATCTCTGTGCAGACCAAACCGTCTGCTAGTTGTATTGATTAGAAAAAAGTTCCAACCTGTGCTTTTTTAATTGCATAGAGTGACTCTTACATTCATTATACTGTGCCAAGGTGTTTTGCTGCATTTTAATCTCCCTCCAGGGGCTTCAGTAATAACTTGACAGATGTCCTGCAAAGCCCTGGGCACAGCGGTTGAGCAGCTGTCCTTACCCTCAATGCACTTTGACTGAGATTTTAAACCTCATACGACCTCTAACTTTATCATTGTTTTACTTTTCATCAAATGTATTGTGTATTTTAGTGGGACGACCCTCGAAACTTAGTTTTCACTGGCTGTTTCTTTCTATGAGTGATGGAGCAGCCCTGCTTTCTTTTATTCAACTTACTGGCAGTAATTTATTCATTGCCACAGCAATTGATTCATTTCATTAGTGCTTTTCCCTCTAAATCTATCACACTGATGTCAAGTCCTTGTTTGAGATTCACAAATGACAATAATGTTTACGCTCCTGTTGTGTACTTCCTTAAACCGGAAACTGTTTGTAAAACGTTGTCCTCTAAAATCCGCTCTAACCTTACTAGTCTGTACATTATTCATTTTTGGTAGATTAATGCTTTGGAGT